CAAAGCAAAGATACAACAATGCAAGAGTTAGCCTTTAAAAGGAGGCATTGATTTTCTGAGAGATGAAAGACAAATGGCAAAACAAAATACTGTCGGGCCAGAGAACAGAATTAGAATTTATACTTGTATTCAGGTGACATTTAGGAGTTGCAGCTCTCCAAAGGGAGGTTAAGCAAGTGCACATGGCTCAATCAAATAAGCTACAGAAGAATCTAATTTTCCTGCCACTCTTTATGTTAAAGTTGATTTTAGGCACGTCTTACGGAGAAGGTGCCCTTGATGGATCTCAAATTGTGTGATTAAAGTAGCTGTATCGAAAGCTTGGGGCTAACACACATAATAGATTTTGTTTCCTATGCAATTGTTTTATTGGAGATAAAGAAGAACAAACTGTGGTTTATCACAGTGATCTTAAAAAGGTGTTTATTTAGTTAGTCAAAGGCAGTTTTTTATTGTATCTGATGTTCAGCTTCCAGAAGATAACATAGTGACCTTAAGAGGATGCACACATTGGAATATATAGTATATTGTTCATCACAAAAAATAACTCAAAACAAAGTTTCTTATAGTTTGCATCCTTTTTCTAGATGATTCCTGAAACTTTTATCTGAAAACTTTAGCCAGGGAAACTTTAGAAAATATGGCATTTATATGCATAAACCGAAGACTTTTAGATTTATAAAGCTTATAGTGAAAGTTCAGTCAGGATGTCTTCTTGCGCATGTTTAGGTCACATGCACAGTTGCTATTTGTAGACTCCATTCTGTCTTGCCATGCAATCACTACCTGGCATTGAGCCAATTGACCTGTAAGCTGTCAGTGTTATATATTCTCATATAAGAACACGTGAACAATTCTGAAGTCATGAATCTAACATAGACTTTTCTTAAAAAACTTCTTCAGAGCAGATTTAAGAAAATTCTCATTCTCATTTGAATTCAAGTGGAAACCTTTACGTATGCAGAAAACTGTGAAATACAGGGTGAGTGAGATTGTCACTGACTGCACCTCCCTCCTGATTGAAACTAAATAACATCTCTGAACATTAGCATTCAGCATTTGCACTGCTCTAATCAACAAGCTGCATGCCTCCCATCATCAAATCTACAGAAATTCTCAAGGTGACAACATAAAATGGGAAGCTGTTATCTGAAATTAATTTCTTGAAAAGGAGCATGTAGTTGGGGAAAGATGTGTGTCTGTGATCTTGTTTGTCTGTTGTGACACTGTTTGTCACTATTCTTTACCTGACACAATACCCAATTTGTATTAAAGATTGATTCATTCAACTAACATTTTATTTACACTTTAGTTTGGCAATCATCTGTATTTTCAGTCAAATTGTCACTGACCACCAGCAAATTATTAGAGACCTCACAGCTCAGTAACTACAGTCCATATTATTTCAGTTTGATGGATATGCTTCATCTTTACTGAGAATTATTGCAAAAGTCGAGACCGTCTTGTGCATATGTTTCTATACCAACAATACTGTCTATATAGTAGCCTTTATAAACAAGGGTATGCATCGACCCTCTGATTCTTTATTATTTCGCTGTATCCTTCCCCTTACAAAATGAAGAGACAAAAAGCAGAGAAATTATGTAGAGCTCCACATCAAGGTGTATGAAAATGTGTGTGTGACAGGGTCAAGAAAATGAGGGAGACTGAAAAGAAGAAAAAACTGTCATGGCCATTCTGATGAGGACAGGCAAGGCTGCTGCCAAGGTATTGAAGGAATGAGGCTCTCCTGTTTGAGAAAAGAAATTTAGCCTACACTTCATGCTGGGCCATGGCCAAGACCATTGTGGTTATAGACTAGGCAGGGCGAGGGTCTTGACAAGAGCTTCATTGAAATGCATGCAGTAGCTCAGTGGCAACTGCATGGTAGTTTTTCATCATCAGTAGGTGAGGCAGCGAGCAAAGGAAAATAATCAGTTGATCTGTAGCAGGAATTATTGCAAAGGAAACCGACAGGCCTGCACAATCAGGGTCTGCTGCAAGACATCTACCTTGAAACACATGAGTGAAAAGTCACATATGTCAACCTTCGAGTGCTCCCAGTAAAGAACCTGACGTATTTCTAAGATCTAAGAGGAAAGAAAAATAGATTATCTAATACCTTTGCAACATCCGGAGAAAGGCTAATCTTTAAGAGCAATAACAATCAGGGTGAGGCAATAAAATATCTGCGGGGTGTGTCTTTGTGTCATGTCAAGGTCAGGGAAAGTTATGATAAGGCAGATGACAAAGTCCAATAGAGGCAGCCACTGCATCAAATGAAATGATAAAAGCTATGTTTTTAATTGTGTAACCCGTCAGCGGTTTGTTTCTTGTCATCAGAGGATTATGCATCATGTACTCATATATACCATTTTCACTGTGCAGTACTAAATAATAATATGGTAAGGTAGAAGTAGATAATATCAATTTGAATGTTGATGTTTGCAATTTTCACAGGAATCAGTAGTTATTCTCATATAGTGACCTGTTTCTTTATCCTTGTGCAGTGAAGTAGTTTGTATTTGACATGCTCTCGGTCTAGACTCTAAAATGATTAAAGTATTTTAAATTCTGTTTGCTAATCTAGCATGCTCTGGCAGCCCTTGAGTTTCATTAGTTTCTAACATCTGGCACCCCTCCCGCATCCCAAATGAGAAACTTCAATCACATTCTCTGCCTGAATGTCCTCAGTGTTTGGAGTCGTGTTGTGTAAAAATGATTTGAAAACACTTTCCACAGTTTTTCTTTGCTAGAGAAATTTCAGCACAGATTTATTTCTTACTGTGACCTGTTAACGTGGTTCTTGCCATTAGCTGTTTGGCGTCTCAACGACAGGGAACAAAGCAGATGTGTAGTATCACAGCACAGTGTGACCAGAGCCCTTTCAAAGTTTGCACACATCACAGAGCAGATCTCTACATGCAAGTTTCAGAGCCCCAGCAAAACTGTGGCAGTGTGGACACAAATGACTGTGTCCAAATGCCTCAGTATTAAGTGATGTCTGTGTTCTGTGATGCAACACAGCTTTGCCTGGCTTTTTGTTTTCCCTACGAAAAAAAGCGTCAAGTTCTGAAAGCAGGATTGTCTGCCCCCTCACTATTGAGATGCTGATGGACAGTGCATAGAAATATGATTCTGGTAGCAGCAGTTTTTCGTACAATTTACAATATTTTTCCATCTATTTAAATGACTAAACTGAATATGTTTCTCTTCGATGTTTCAGTGTCCTTAAGTTTTTAATATTTCAGTTCTCAACCTTCTGTTTTTTATTTTTAATACTATACATGCCTATGGAATAGTTTTAAGCAATCTAAAGGTTATCACGTTTGGTTTCTTTTTGGCTCTTATCATGACATTGTATTTTCTGTAACGTATATTTAAAGTGCATTGATTGTCTTTAATCTATAAATAAACGTAACTTAACAGCTAACGGCATTGCAAAGTTCGACTGAGGGCTATCGTCTCAGAAAGACATGAAGAACCAGCAAGGGAGGGAGCATTAAAAAACAAGGTACAAAAAACGATCATCCCATTCCCTGGAAAGAAAAACAGTCATAAATCAAAGAGAAAAATGAGGTGCCTTATCTGGCTAACTTCACAGCTAAGGTAGCTCGACTTCTAACAGGGTCTCAGGAGAATGCCACCAAGGTTCCCAGGCAGTGTAGCATAGTGTTACACTCCGCTAAAGTGGTTATGAACAAGAAATAAAATAATTTACTTTAAAATGTTGTCCTGTGCAATGCAAGTTAAATGACTACAGGAGGGCTCTCAAGGGACAGAGATTGGCACGGGGGGCTGAAATCATAGCAAAGTGGGACATCTGAAATAAAAATAGAGGAAGTCAACATGCACCCTAAATTATGTCACTCACACAACAAAAACAAAGCTTGCTAAAATTAAGCAGCAAGTACATGGGTTGTACAGGTTTGGCTAAACATGAGAAACACCTCTCAATATAAAGATTTTCTCAAATTATTCCTCTATGAGTGTGCCCATTGAAACTGAGCGTTTGTATAAGGTAGAATTTAATGCCGGTTTGTTGTATTGGATTATGGTAGATTTTACTGGTGTTCTTTAAAAAAGTGTCCATTAAGTGTATAATTTTCTAGTAAGAAAAAAGAAGAAATAAGGAGAAAGAAGAGAAAGAGAGAAGAACAAAAAGAAGAAAAGTGAATCTTTGTATATGGGTATGTACATGGTAGGTGTATGAGAGACGGGAGGAGCATCCAAGGTTTATTAAAAATGTTGGGGTAAGGAAGAGGAATGCGAAAACGTATTCCTTTTGTATGGCTAAACTGAATAAAATAAATCCAGGGCCTTAAACCTGAAGGTCAGTTTTAATATTATATCAAAAACCAATTTCCACTTGTTTGTCAGATCCATTTATCAAATGCATTTAACACAATTACACCCTGTAGCCTTGCTGGTCCTGTGTGCTAGTTCCATGGCCTCTTCACACAAAAAGGGAGTCAGAGCTGGAATAGCTGAGGTGGGTAAAGTATACAGGGGTCAGAAGCAAGTGTCACAGGCTAACACGGTGGAGCTGCAGGAAGTACCAAATTACCTCCAAGTCTGTCTGCTCAGCCAGAAGGAACTTGATGAGGGTGCATATAAGTCTGTCAGCCTATATGCACAGAATGCAACTGCCTGATATTGGATGGAGGAAATGAGTGAGAGTTGCTGCTAAAACAGTGCCAAATAAGTGATAGTGATCAGCATCCAAAAACAGTGGCAGACAAAATGCCTTTACTGCCAAATCAGTCCCACAACTCAGCTCTGTAATGGTGCTATTAGATTGCAAGGGGTTACTGCTGCCAGGCCACTGTTACCAGCCAAGGCAGATTTATAGTCAGGCCAAACTGCGTCATTATACATGAGCCTCACTGTCCATATTATTAGGGCTGCCCCCAACCAAAGTGTCTCTTAATTGACTCGTGGTCATTGGTTGTCTCATGTTAATGTTATTAATGATTTTTTTTAAATACATCTATTT